TACAATATTTCATTTCAGCCTTTCAGACCTGCACTTCAACATAGATTGAATGTATGGTTTCTTTAAGGGATAATTCTTTTTCTGCGAGGCTACCAACATCATATCAAAACAAGCCTCCGAATAAATTGGTGGCCTAACATTTCACCCACAAATGCAACACAAATGATACCCAATCAATAGAGCTGTCTAAATTACCACAATAAATTACGGTTAATTTGAATTTGAATGAGTTTATTTTTTATGAGATACCCTGTAGAATGACAACATATAAAATATGACAACATCTGCTTGATTTTTAATTGTTTTAATAACACAACAAGTATTTATTACTTGATAATTGTTTAACATTTTCTTTGTGACTGTCGTTTTTTTGACATCCTTTCTATTTTCTTTCATCTTTTTTAATGCTTCACTGAAGGTTTACGGAAGCCATTCTTGTTTTTTAGCACTTGTTGGCTCCACAGATCGTTGGGAGCGTTGCTTCCACCCGTATTCTACTGCCGGCCTTTGGTTGAACTCGTAAAACAGGCATATTCAGGTTAACGTACAGATCGTGAAAAACGGTTTCATTTGATAGACAGGAGCGATCGGATGTCCTGAGATGGTTATACAAGCTAATGAGCCTTTATACGTCAGCTGAATGTGGCGTACAGGCTACAATTTTTGAAGTGTTAGAGGATTTTGAAGTGAAACGCGTACCCTAAGTGAATTGCCAACACTGGAAAATGATACTAGTGATGACGAGGACAAAGAGGCCGGTGCTGAAGCTGGATGGTTTGACTATCAATATTTGTGTCATCCATATGAAAATCATGCTCTTCAATTGGTTTCAACAATTCAACTTTTTAGGTTCTTCTTTTTTTTTCTTCGAAACTAGTATTTTCAGAAGAAGAGCCACCAATTTCATTCCCCCACCCCGTTTTCATTTGTTTTTCTTTTCAGTAAAAAACTCAGTGTAGGCAGTGGCGCCGTGGAACCAATGTTTTCAGGGGGGGGGGCAAGGGCAGTATTTTTCCGACAAACCGAAATATTTTTCCAACAAAACAAAAAATTTTCCGGACGACAACATAGTAAAATGTTGTCCCCCCCCGTCGACAACTTTGAAATTTTCCGATAACATTGACAATTTTCCGACGGGTCTCAACAATATAGGGGGGGGGGGGCATGTTCCCCCCGGCCACGGCGCCACTGAGTGTAGTCTGAACTGCCGTCTTACTCTTCATGGACATACCTTTTCGCTACTCTGTCGAGTAAGATCGCATTGTTGTTCTACAAAATCGCATTGTTGTTCTACAAAAACGTGTGTTACGAATCATTGATAAACAGGACTTCGGTGTGCACACCAGTCCTATTTTTGATGAACTTAAAATATTGAAATTTGAAGATATCTATTTATTTAACCTCGGAAAGTTTATTTATCAATACAAACATAAATTCCTTCCTGATTGTTTTGAATGTCCACTTTTAACTGTAAGTCAAATTCACAATTATAATACCCGTAAATCCAGAATACTTACCGTTATTGCAGAACAAATACTCGCCTATTTTCTGTCAATTATCAAGGACCAAAATTTTTCAATACGTTGAATGCCGATATACGTAATTCATCATCTATTTTTAGTTTTCAATCTAAGTTAAGATCGTTTCTTTTTCTCGTTACATATAGTTTCAATATTTAGTAATTTGGCTCAATTCATTTTTATTCGAATATCTGTCTTTGCCCTAGCTAATATCATGCACATGTTTCATTTAATATAGATGAAATCAATGAGGTAGCCCAAAGTATACAAGCCTGATGGTTTCTATTTGGGCTTCCTCACCACAATTATTTTTTGAATATGTATGATTTTCTGGTATTTGTATTTTTTTGTGGTAAATCAAATAAAATTATTATTATATTATTATTATAAGATAAGTGGTGTTTTCCGACTTCTCCTTTGGCATAGTCGATCATCACGTATTACAAATTCTTGTATCACGTTCATTTTCGGGCAGTGATCTAGAAGCTATGCACTGAATTGTTACAAACATTGCAGCGATGACACATTAGCCGTTCCAGATCTTTGCATATACTACAAGTTTCACTCATTGTTTAATTAAAATTAATACCGGGCGAACTCATGGAAGTGCGATACATAAATAGCTACCTCCTCCGCAGTCCGCGGCCCTTCTCCGGGCAAATTTGCGGGCGGTGCAAATTTGCGGGCCACTTTAAGAAACCCGCATTTTTCGAACCTGCCCGAAATGCTCCCTAAGCACCTGCGCAGGAGGTAGCATAAATGATGTTTCATGTTGAATATCCTAGATCAGGATTCGAAGATGTGTATAACAATAACCATTTAATATAATTATAAATATGTACAAACTTTAGCCAGTATTCCAAATATAAAGCGAATAAATTGCTCAACTTATTTACAAACTCACGCCATCTTGAACAACATCAAAAAAAGTCACGTGATAATCTACTGTCCAGTTATATGTGCAGTTCAGTGTTTCAAATATAAATCTAACATAAAGTATAGCACAAATAACATAATTCCTTGACGTGATGAAAACACGGGATCTACCAGTGGCGGAAATTAACTTTTTCCTGTGGGGGGGGGGGAAGCCTTCTAAATTTACAACAAAACATTCAAATTTCCGACAAACCGCCCCCCCCCCCATTTGCACTCAAAAAGGCTGTTTTTAGTCCTTTTAAAGGTCAACATTTCCGAAAATTCGTCATTTTCTACTAGATAGCGCATCTCTTTTAGTAAAATTGAAGCCAAGAATATTCCAGCGGTTACCCCCATTTGAATAGATGGCGGCCATGTTGGAGTTTCCCACTCGCTAATTGAAACACTTACAAAACAACAATAACTTTCATCATTTGAATAGTTTGAAAATGTATTTGGAATAGGTTAAACTTAATGTTTAAGTTCCCTGTTTAAGAAATAGAAAACATACGAGTCTTCTCATTACATGGGAATATCCTGAGTCTGCAATCACGGCTTCAATTTTTGAATTGCAGAATAATTAGATGCACTATTTAGTGTATATATATAAAAGATATCTATGTTTCCGCCACTGGGACCTGGCGGAGTTTGTACGTATTAGGGTCAAGCTTGCATGAAGTCCGCCGGATTTTCTGGACAATGAATTATTGAATATTGGAATTATTACTGGAGCTTGGCTTTTGTTTGTGCCTTTGCTCATTTTGTTGCAAAGGCATTTTGGAATTCTCGACTTTATATTTCATCTACTTCGCCCCTTCAGCACATCTAATACAAAGTTGAAATTTATTTCAAACTTCAAATTTCAATACTGCACACTTTCCCATTCAATACTGCACACTTTTTATTCAATACTGGAAACAAAAATAGGCCCTGTTTCATGTTGTATATTTTGTGTTTTATTGTGTTTTTCAAAGTTTTGCCACTATTTCTCTGCCGCTACTTGGGTATTTAGGAATTTTGCTGACAACCTTATCAAATAATACTCTAGTCATACATACGACCACGCATAACATTGCAGTCGGGGACTGAGTAGTACTGATATATTTAAGAGAAATTTATTACATTTTCCGCAGAAAGAAAATTTTTGTAAAATGTGATTGGCCGACACAATTTTTCGAATTCCGCCGGAAAAAAATTTTGAAGTTGAAAATTTTCAAATTTTAACGATGACATTTTCGGAAACTTTTCTGTCCTTGGAAAATCTCCTTGAGTGGAAGTGAACCTTTAGGCTTTAAATGTCAATAGACACAAACAGTCAGACCTCGCATAGTGAGAAAATTCGTTTTTTATTGATTTTTGTCAGTGCAATATGAAAAAAATAAGCCTGGTTTAAATTAAAAAACGGCATCAGTCTTTAACCGGAAAAAGAAGCTTAAACCTCTTTCGCACTTACGTACTGTACCTCCACGACACCGTTCATTATGAATATGCAAGAAGGCCTGTTAAACGCAGGAGGGATGCAATAATTTTTTTTATTTTTTATCAGTGAAAATGAAGCAATCTGATTGGCTGAGAGCCTTTCAGAACGGGCCGGTTTTTTGCATCCGGCCCGCTCTGAAACGCAACTGCCCGCTGTGAAATGCAACTGCCCGCTCTGGCTTTCGCGACAAAAACTGAGGAGTGAAACAATTTTTTAAAAGAAAAAATCAGCCAAAACCGTTTGAAAAACATATCCTAACGATAGTCAGAATACAAAAATGAATTGCATCAAGCCCTAAAGACTTCATACTAAGCACGATGTTCACCAGAACTGACAATATTTTGATAGAAATGCGACTGAAAGCCGGAAAATTATTCGACATGTATAAAAGTTACGTCGAGAAAGCTACATATTTTTTAAATGCTCATGTATTCGGCCACTTAAAAGCGAAAAAATTACAGCTTAAACAGTTATTGTAAAATAAATGTTTTCCCATTTAAAAAAAGTTTTATTTGCAGCAGTGAAAACAAGTCACGAATATATTCTCTACCCATTTGTGTCATACATTCTTCACTGATATAAATATTGTATTAAAACAAAGTAAAAGTTTGTGTTTAAATTAAAAACATTTTTTTCAAGCATATTATCGTGAAACGACAAGAAAAAAATACAAAAATATAAAAACAACATACCCTTTTCATTGACCTTTTAGTAGAAAAACGTTGATTAAATGAAAACAGATTCAGAGTTTTTGATCTGATCTGAACATGAACTTGTGGTTGTCAGGAGCAACTGATTTTGTCAAAGCCAAAGCCAAAACGCCAGGCATAAAAGTTTTTATTCCAAAGCTTCTCTTCTATACCATATTCATGAAAAAAGCATGTACATTTTTACTGAAACTATACGTCTTTTTGTGTGTTTCTTGCCAGTTTTCTCGAGTTTTCGTATCGTGTTTTATATCATTCAACTTTTCAAATTTAAATTTTTGTCAGCCTCGCTTTGAAAATACACAACTGCACTGATCTCAAATTAGTTCGCAAGCAACACTGGAATTTTAATCAATTTAATTTTTACATCTGATAAAAAATAAACACGTTATTTACCGGCAGCGTCGGTCCGGATGAGAAAAACTGTGCCCTCGGTCTTGAAAACGTCCCTCGCCCTTCGGGCTCGGGCCGTTTTCAGGACCTCGGGCACAGTTTTTCTCATCCGGACCTCCCAGCCGGTAAATAACATATATATCTTGTGCGGGCTGCATATAAACTGAAATAAATAATTGTTTTGAAATCTCTTTTTTATGAAATTTTGGCAGATTTACTTCCATTTAGAAATTTTGATTAAAATTTCGTTTACGGTTACATATACAGTTGAAACAAACACGCTAAACAAAGCCATTAATTTAATTTAAGACGATTTTTAAAAAATATTTGTGATTACATGCTGCCCGGACTGTGTCGAGTTTCAATCTGGGTCAAACCGGACTGGCATTTCAGCCCGGGGATGAAGCTTGATATTAATAATTGTTCATAGTTGTCAACTGTCAAAACCTACAGTAGCTCATGTTTCATTCGGTGTTGGGATTTTCCGATGCGAGAACGCAGTTTTTAGCCAAAGTGGGGAACCAACCACGTTCCAACCGCGTTCCGACCGCGTTCGGAACGCAAACGCAGTGTTAGGTTATTTCTGAGCAGTACTGTAAATGTTAGATTCTTTGATATCAGACACTGGCCAGTAACAGCAATAGAAGAGAAGAAAAACCCATTTATCGGCGAAAAATACCGTATACTACGTTTTTATTGAGATAAACGCTTTGCCCATTCTGTGCCTTTAAGGGGGTTCTTATATAGGGTTAACCTTCCGATCCTCCTGCAAGGACCTACCTCCTGTAAATAGATCGTAGGTACCTTGATTAAATATTTTGATTGATTGATTGATTGATTGGCTGTATGTATGCCTTTGTTTTAGTGATGGTATGACGTCATTGTTGAGGTCCAGTTCTAGGAAAGGGAAAGTCCCATACCAGGAATCCGAGTGTTTGTATCAACCGTGTTTGTTCGAATTTATGGCGTGAAAAACATATATTATATATATTAAATGTAGAGATTCAAGAATTAAGCAGAGATGTTTATATTTCATATTGGAACTGAATGCTTGGAGAGGTCACAACTGTGTGATTAATGGTAAGATTTGTCACCGTTTGTATGGAAATATTCAAGTGTAAACACTTGACGCCATATTGCATGAAATACAAAGCTAGGCGTATTAAAATCACTAGATTTTCTTTGAAGATAAGTCAGATAATACTGCAAGGCAGAACATATAATTTAATTCCGAAAAGTCTTTTATATAAAGAGTAGAGTACACTCAGAATTGACTGGAAATATGACCAAACGACTGAAATAAAATACATATAGCCATGAGTGACATATTGCTGATATTGATATACTTTAAAGCTACACAGATATTTGTAACCAAAATACTCACCTTTAATTGATCATTTTGATAAAAAGACAAGTCAGACAAAGAGGGAAATTAATTCACCCATTCCCTATTTTAGCAAATTTTTTCAGGAATTCGGTTTGATTTAATTTATTTTCATTAAACGAATGTAGCATATTTATACATATAAGCATGTTCTAATTTGCATTCATCAGAGTAATAATTCAAAACTATATATTTCAAAACTAGTATATATTACCCTTAATATAATTTGCTAAATTTCTCTATATGTTATTATTCTTGTTACTGTTACAGTTTCAGATACTATAGGCAGTATAGTTAAAATGCAAATAAGACTATCCTCTTGGCGAGCAAAATTGTCCAGTAATAGACAGTAAGAGTAATTTTCCCATCAATTGGCATCCAAATACATTAACGCAAGCCCCTTGTGACCTACACCTGGCAATTAGAACTGATGAAAAGTCTTGGTCAAACAAGTTTGAGAGTAAAATTTGGCTGCCCCTGCCAAATGAAAACAAGAGTTGTATAATATGAGCATAGGCGTACAAGACGGAGCAGGGAGGGGGGCAACTCCCCCAAATTTTGGAAACCGTGGAAATTCAGGCATGGAAATGCTAGAAAAAATCACAAATAGGTTAATTAGATGCAGGTAATTTCATTACAATCCTCCATAAAAATTTGGGCAAACTTTCAACTGCCCCCCTAGAAAGCATTAGCCCTGTACGCCTATATATATATGAGAGTTGATGATTGAGTGTGATGATTTGCTTCACTGAATATCACTTTACGGAGCGAAAACTCTTGTCAAATCTCTGGGCAATTTGAAGCGGGTCATTATGTTGATGAATGCGTGAAAGCCAATGAGAGTTGGCGGTCAAATGTAAGTGAGGTTGTAACTCTCATATAATATCTCTTGTCAACTCTCATTCTTTGTTTGACTCAGTCTTACTCTACTGAATTAACTTGGGCGATTGAACGTTTTTGTTACACAACATCCTAATTAAATAATTCTTTCCTCCAAACATGGTACTACCATGGCCGGTGCCCAGTAGAATGGAATTAAGCACTCGTAAGCAGTCTACAGTGTACATTTCATGCAGCACCCCTAATGTTGGGGTTATTGCAGTGTTGTAACGAGTCACATATAGGTCGAGTCACAAGTCGAGTCGAGTCACTCAAAGGTCGAGTCACGAGTTGAGTCGAGTCATTTCAGTTTTTGATCGAGTCGAGTCAGTGGCTTCACTCGAGTCGAGTCAGCGGCTTCACTCGAGTCAAGTCGAGTCACTGATTTAAGTCGCGTCGAGTCAATTTCTAGACTTGACTTGAGCTTGACCTAGCTTGCAGTAGGAAATTAGTAATCAAATTTGCGTTTTAAACTAATTACTTTAGTCATTTAATAACAGTATCTGGGCAGCTATAGGCTGTGCCAATATCACAGTAATTCTAGTCAATATTAAGTACAACCACATGAGATGTCTCATCATGCCTGCTGATCGAGTGTACGTACATACAACTAGCAAAACTTGCAACTGGAGTCAGAATTAACAAAGAATAGACTTTAATTAACAACGCTTTGTAAGTTAATTTGAAATTATATAGCCCTTCATAAATACCAAAAATGAAAATAGCTTGTCAGAATTAGTGTATAAGTACAAAAAAATTTGAGACTCAATTTTAAAAACTGTGGCACTAGCGTTGTTTCTAAAAACAGAAATGTAATATAGGTATGCCCGTCAGGAATATATTCTATGCAAATCCCATATATTTTCTGATAAAGTTTCGAAATTCTCATTGTTCACAGGGCTCATTGTTCTTCCCAAGCAATACAATCACGATAATTGTGATGAATTTATTCTGTACAAGTTCTAGCTTAGTTGACTCGAGTCATTTAAGGCAAAATCAGCAAGTCGAGTCCAAGTTGAGTCATTTGGGGCTGTTGACTCGAGTCGAGTCATTTTTCGTATTGGACTCGAGTCGAGTCGCTGAAAATAGCGACTCGAGTTGACTCGAGTCAGAAAATGACTGGACTCGTTACAACACTGGGTTATTGTTTTTCATTGTCCCACCTGCAGCTTCTCTCACCACCCCACCCTGTTGTTCCCTTACCTCACTTACCATTATTCCTTCAAATATAAAATATTATACCATTTTCAGCCATATTGACCCAGATCCTAGGAAAATTTTGTGGTGGCCCTACGCTGTTTATCCAGACCATGCACCATGAAATATCATATGAATTTAGCATCTCCGGCCTAGATGAATATTTGTAGCCTTTCATGTGTCCAAACAAAACGTCCTAGGATAATAATTAAACTATATTATCATAATCAGTAAGCCTCACCTATATTTTCCAAACATTGAAGTCTTGCCATAGCAACACGATTATTCCTATTTGTCAAACACCCCAAATTCCAACACGTCTGAGCTTTTGAATATATTTGATATTTACAATCTTTCACAGACAATTACTGAACCTACTAGAATAACAAATAACTCACAAACATTAATCGACCTATGTATTACCAATAATCTTGACAAAGTAAAAGCTTCCGGTGTTCTTTCCCTTGGTATAAGTGATCATTCTCTGATATCCCTTATTCGGAAATGTATATATCATATGGCACCGGTAAATGCTTTTGTTGAAAAGAGAAATGTCATAAACTTCAATGAGCGTACGTGCATATTTGAATGATTTAAATAATCTAAATTGGGAGGAGGTTTCTCTGCATAACGACCCTAATGATATGTTGACTGAATGGTTGGATTTGTTTATTTCTGTGATTGATAAACATGCCCCACTTAAAAAGAAACGTATAGGGAAACGGAAGTCTCCCTGGATTACTTCACATGTAGTTCAGAAAATTCGCGAAAGAGATTATCTAAAAAGGCAATTCGATATTATACGTGACAACACTATTAGGCTAGCCTGCGAACAGGCTCACTGGGAGAAAGGTGAGCCTGCACGTAACCATGCGTTTTATTCAATCATCCCCTTTTCGCATCTGCTAAATGCGAACCAATCAGCGTCGACTGCGATAAATAAACTGTCAACTGTCAAATTGACGCAAGACGTGTACATTGTGCAACGAAGAAATACTGAATATTAAAATGTATACATAATGTCTATATGAACAATAATACAAAGCATTAGCGGGCCGCACAATACACATCCAAATACACATACAAATATAAAGCCGAATAAAATACTACCATTGGCATTGAATTAATGTACAGTAATACTTGTACTATGTGCGACTGAAAGAACAATGTTCTGAATATTTGAAGCTATTACTAAAATACGGTCAGATAGATTGGGATTTGGAATACCGAATACGTCTAAAATTTTACTAACTGTGGTCTAAATAAATTATAAATGAGCATGTATTTATTAATTTCTTCGAAATCACGAGTGTGCCAATAGTGGAAGCATAGTGGTGGAAGCCGTATCGACGACGAAATTGTCAGCAGTTTATACAGTAAATAGTACAGCGTTTAATGTACGATATATATTCAGCCTAGTCCCAGTTGTTCTGAAGCAAGCGCGAGAAAAAAGCGGATGTAGTACGAGACTTGGACGTAGTGTGACGTCACCGCTCAAGGTGCTTCCGAACGCCTAGCAGATTTCAGTATTTTTAATATTGCGAAAAATTTATATATACAAGTAACCTTTTAATTATAAATACGACAGTGTTCGTTCGTCATGTACATGTTCGTTGTCTACATAACCAAATCAAACCGTATTAAAAATGTGCTCAACTAAAAAAAAATATATTCAAATTTACG